ACCCCACCTCCAGTTCTATCAAATCAGGATGACATGGATTCTTCCCTACCCACTTATCAGTAAAAGAAAAAAATTCCTTATATTTATAATATCATAAATGTAAATTATTTATTTGAAAGGCAACCTGGTCGTTGTTTAAATGTTTTATTCAGACTGTCTTGAGTCTTTGAGAAAGATGAACACAATCAGTGGTTAGTTAGTGTAGGAAACTTTAGGTACTGGTAATGCCATTTCTGTTATAAAGTAATATAGATAGTATCATAAAACAACATTGAAGAAATATTCATCTGTAAATAGATTGACCAGTCAAATACTTAAATAAATTTTCTTTTACACTCACTGTCTGACAATTGAATTGATTAATTACACTCGGCACTGCAAAAAGAGCCAATAGAGGGGGGAAACCTTTGTAGATAGAATATGATCCTAATTTTAACCTTTATTTCTAGATGAAAAATACATACTCCTTGTTCCCATTGTCCCTGATTTCTTTACTTATCCTTCTTTTTCCTTTTTATAATATAGAAGCTCAAGTATATGTTTCTTGAGATTTTGTGAATACTAGGACTGCATATAGATCAAAACAATTTACCTAACGCATTTCATGGAAGCAGGTGTATGATGTGACCCCATTTTTGGATGATCATCCAGGAGGTGATGAAGTTTTAGTGACCGCAACAGGTAATTATTTCATCTTGGCCCGTTAATGTCATTAATATGCAATCGGAATCTATTTCCTCTGGCCTAGTTTGCTAGAAGAAAGAAATGAATCAATAAAGAAACAGAGAAAATAATAGACACGGATTAAGAATGTTTTGGTCTTTACACAGAGAAGGATGCCACCACTGATTTTGAAGATATTGGCCACAGTGAAGCAGCAGTTGAGATGATGGAGGCATACTTTGTTGGGGATGTTGACACCAACTCTATTCCAGCAGAACAAGCTCCCAAACACACTCCAAGCCCACCTACACTAGCACCTGCCTACAACAATCAATCTTTTGGATTTGTGAAGATATTGCAGTACCTGGTGCCATTGCTGATATTGGGCCTTGCATTTGCTCTGCAGTACTATGGCAAACAAAACAAGTCCACTGAATCAGAAAATTGAATATGAGCTGTGGCCATAGTTTTAGTGCATCTATTATCAAAGTCTATATCAAAAGTCTCCTGGTGGTAATAAAGTGGCGGCAGTGTTGTTTCTTTTTCTTTTTCCTTTTCCTTTTTTCTGGGTATCATTTAAAAGTATTTTTCTCTCTCAATTATCATGCTGGGATTAATTTTGTTTCCTTGATTTGCTATGGCCTCTTTCTCAGTTATGCTAGTTGCTCATTTGGGATTATCTCATGAATAATATTTTGAAATATATTCTATTAAACATAGTAACTGGAGTGCAGATTATTGTATTATGTGTTGTGTTTCATGTTTAAATTCTGTAGCCCTGGCTGGATAGTTTTTAGTTAAAAAGATCGAATCATTTAATAGCAGTAAACACTTCGAAAGTAGAACAAACAACTGTCTTTTTTTGGGAATGGCCTTATGTTGACGATATTATGTGAAAGTTGTGTTTCAATAGATAATAAATACATGAGATCATGTTAAAAAAAAAGANTGGCTTGGTTTGGGTTTGAACAAAAGTCATTGATCCAATCCTTGTATGTGTCAAGTTAAAAGAAGTTGTGTATGGCATTTAGATTTTAGAATTTTGATGTAAATGTAATCAGAATTCTTTCATCAGTTTAATCCCTAAGCATGATATGTTAACCTTAATTTATGTCTTCCTACAGCAATGAACATGGATTCTCGTACAATGATTATGAACACCATATGATAAATGATAATAGCACTTACTGATTAACCAGATTAGTGTAGCGTACTCATCATGGGAAACCCCAAAATCCTAACACAATGCAAATGGGTTAAGTGTTTATACTAGCTCAATAATAAAAGAAATCTCTTATGGGCAAATGCCTAAAATGTTTGGTTAATTGAGGAGTTGTACTGTGATTGCTGAAATCGTGTCAAATTGTGGGAAGGTGCTTGACGTGGCTGCAGCTGTGGTGGTGAAGAGTGGTTACCCAGAACCAAAAAATAGTTCTTAAGCATAATTTTTTGGGTTCACATTGCCATCTACCATGCTAAGAACGTTATTGTTTCTTTTCTCTCCAGTGTTAAGAACACTTTTGAAGTTCTTCATGTACCTCATCCCCTTCCTTTTCTCTTTCTCAGCTCTCTTATCACCTTCCCTTTCACTGCTCTTCAGAGTTCTTGGTGAAACACAATTATTCCAGCGTGGAGAACTTTTCATCTACTCCATCCACAGTTCTTCTAGGAAAAATTCTTAGATTGAAGAACCCAACAATAAAAATGGTCTTAGGGGTCTTAGGGGGTGAAATTAAAACTACTCTTCTTGGCTCAAATAGTATAAGCATAAATAACTAGACTAAACCCAATTCTATAAGATTTTTTAATGATGCAAATTCTTTCCTTGTGAAATTCATTAAAAGATGGATAAATCAGAGGGCTCCCAATGGGAATATTCTATTTAATGATTTAGAAAGTTGTTTGGGCATAATTAAGAGACATTTATACCATTTGTAAAATATGGATTGTCTCTGTTTATTTTCTCATTTTGGCTGTATAGCGTGTGCAAAACACAATCTATGTACAATTATTATATTCTTAATTTTGTTGAAGGCGGCAACTGTTGAAATTTGAAGTTCAATTTTATCGCAAACTATTTCTATGATAAACTGTGTCATCTTATCAGTCATTGAACATGAAGGAGATAGCATACTCCTGGTTGGTTAGGAAACTATATATCAATGGTTGTTTATCTTTCTATCCTGGCTTGTGAGTCTGTCCACAAAGCGACGTTGATGTGATTTTTTTTATTAAAGAATAGGATTTTCCTGTTTAAGTTGTAGTTAAATGAGTTATTTTTTCAAGTGTTCATTACATATTATCATAACACTACCTGAGTTAACAAGCTTCATAAACTAACATATCATCACCTATCGAAAAGAACCTTTTGGTTTCTTAATTGTAGTTGCTAGAACAAGTTGTTTGTGTGAAGTGCTCCATTGCATTTTCATTAACCTGTACACATTTTTTCTTTTTATCAAAAGAACAAATGTTATTTAAGAGAATACAAACTCATTCAGAAAAGGGAAAACAATGAAAGAAGAAATTCTTCAAACAACATTTCCGGCAATGAATCTAAGCCAAAAGAATCCCATGCTCTCCAGGTCTCCTAGACCACTAATCTTTCAAAGCTTCATGTAAACAGCTTATTCAGAGCTGGCAAGAGGGAACAAACACCTTTCCTCTCTAAGAACTTTACATGGTATCAGGTGTTGATTTCTCCATCAACAAACACCTCTGCATCCATCACACCCTCCGCAAGCACTCAGAATCTCAGTCTTTCAAAAGTACCTCCATTCCTTCTCATAACCATCTCTTGTGATTTTTGTTATAGAACAAATTATGTTGCTAAAACTCTTGATTTAAATTTTCAAAGACTCTCTGGAAATCATTGTTCATTCCTGTCCTCACTTAAAGCCTACAATGTTTTCAATCCTATTGATGGATGCCACACCCCACCTCCAGTTCTATCAAATCAGGATGACATGGATTCTTCCCTACCCACTTATCAGTAAAAGAAAAAAATTCCTTATATTTATAATATCATAAATGTAAATTATTTATTTGAAAGGCAACCTGGTCGTTGTTTAAATGTTTTATTCAGACTGTCTTGAGTCTTTGAGAAAGATGAACACAATCAGTGGTTAGTTAGTGTAGGAAACTTTAGGTACTGGTAATGCCATTTCTGTTATAAAGTAATATAGATAGTATCATAAAACAACATTGAAGAAATATTCATCTGTAAATAGATTGACCAGTCAAATACTTAAATAAATTTTCTTTTACACTCACTGTCTGACAATTGAATTGATTAATTACACTCTGCACTGCAAAAAGAGCCAATAGAGGGGGGAAACCTTTGTAGATAGAACATGATCCTAATTTTAACCTTTATTTCTAGATGACAAATACATACTCCTTGTTCCCATTGTCCCTGATTTCTTTACTTATCCTTCTTTTCCTTTTTATAATATAGAAGCTCAAGTATATGTTTCTTGAGATTTTGTGAATACTAGGACTGCATATAGATCAAAACAATTTACCTAACGCATTTCATGGAAGCAGGTGTATGATGTGACCCCATTTTTGGATGATCATCCAGGAGGTGATGAAGTTTTAGTGACCGCAACAGGTAATTATTTCATCTTGGCCCGTTAATGTCATTAATATGCAATCGGAATCTATTTCCTCTGGCCTAGTTTGCTAGAAGAAAGAAATGAATCAATAAAGAAACAGAGAAAATAATAGACACGGATTAAGAATGTTTTGGTCTTTACACAGAGAAGGATGCCACCACTGATTTTGAAGATATTGGCCACAGTGAAGCAGCAGTTGAGATGATGGAGGCATACTTTGTTGGGGATGTTGACACCAACTCTATTCCAGCAGAACAAGCTCCCAAACACACTCCAAGCCCACCTACACTAGCACCTGCCTACAACAATCAATCTTTTGGATTTGTGAAGATATTGCAGTACCTGGTGCCATTGCTGATATTGGGCCTTGCATTTGCTCTGCAGTACTATGGCAAACAAAACAAGTCCACTGAATCAGAAAATTGAATATGAGCTGTGGCCATAGTTTTAGTGCATCTATTATCAAAGTCTATATCAAAAGTCTCCTGGTGGTAATAAAGTGGCGGCAGTGTTGTTTCTTTTTCTTTTTCCTTTTCCTTTTTTCTGGGTATCATTTAAAAGTATTTTTCTCTCTCAATTATCATGCTGGGATTAATTTTGTTTCCTTGATTTGCTATGGCCTCTTTCTCAGTTATGCTAGTTGCTCATTTGGGATTATCTCATGAATAATATTTTGAAATATATTCTATTAAACATAGTAACTGGAGTGCAGATTATTGTATTATGTGTTGTGTTTCATGTTTAAATTCTGTAGCCCTGGCTGGATAGTTTTTAGTTAAAAAGATCGAATCATTTAATAGCAGTAAACACTTCGAAAGTAGAACATACAACTGTCTTTTTTTGGGAATGGCCTTATGTTGACGATATTATGTGAAAGTTGTGTTTCAATAGATAATAAATACATGAGATCATGTTAAAAAAAAAGAACTGTTAACACTAAAAAGAGATTACGACAGTTTTCTGATAAAAATTTAATCTGGGAAAATTCACCCAGATCCTTTTTGTTTGCTTGATAAGCTGAGTAAGCAGATCTAGCCGTGTTATAAACATTATTGTTCTTGGGTTATAATTTCTGTTTAATTAGACGTATTTAGCCTGTATGAGGGCTTTTATATATATATATATATATATATATATATATATATATATATATA